ATGCACATTTAAGTTGGCAGGGATATTTTGCAACAACACTATTTATACCCTTCAGTGTGTGAGATCAGCAACAATCACTGTAGTGGGGATTGTAGCTTTATTACACGTCGTAGTGCTTCCTATGCTCTTCACGACCTTCACGTACGCAAACATATTTAGAATTTCTCAGCGCAGCTCTAAGCAATCCAGGAAAACAACAGTGGAGACCTGCGTGCCTCACCTGCTGGTTCTGACCAGCTACTTCTGCCTGATGACCTACGATGTGGTTATAGCCCGAGTGCAGTCCGATTTCCCGCAAATTGCCCGATTCATAATGACGATGCAGATATCTTTGTATCACCCTTTGTTTAACCCGTTCATATACGGTTTCAAGATGAGAGAAATTAACAGACATCTGAGGAGATTGTTCAGCTCAGTAATTTAGTGATTTTATTTTATTTTTTATTTCATTGCTTTCGAATTTTTTATTGCACCTCATTTTGGTCTTCAAAATGGAAACGGCATCATAATTCAGCTGCATCTGGATTCAATTTTAGCCGTGTTCATTGTTTGGATTGGGATGCGACTGATCGTTGCTGCGCTGCAGCAGCAGCAGGATGGAATCATGTCATCACATTAGGACAACGACTTTGCTTCCCAACTCCAAGGAATGTTTTGAACGTCCACTGAAAGCAACAGGAACACTTGTGGGCTGTGGGAGCCGTTTGTTCGTTCACCTGCCTGAACAGCGCCTCGTTTAACCCAAGCTCCATTTACCTTTTTTTGTAATTAAAGAATTTTACTGCGTTCCACTTTAGGAACACAGTTTGATGTGTTTCCTGATTGTGTGTGTGATGCTGCATTATTGAAAATAAATACTATAAGGGAAGATATTTTTGAGAGATTAGTCATGCAAATGTCTAATTATTTGACTGGCTGATAGCCAGTAAAATAAAAAAAGAAGAAAAACTAAAGTCTAGACTGGACTTTTTTTTCTTAATAGGACATTTTCTCATAAAGAGTGAAGAAAAAACTTGCTTTGGCTTCATTTTTAAAAATCTGTTACTATGTTGTGTGTGTTTTAGCTGCTTCCTCGGCACATATGTGACCCTTTGGACTTTATACACGCATTTGTTGTACGGTGTCCGTCAAAAACTGGATGAGACACGGGTATGTAACTTTGTGAAAACGTAAACTTAATAAACTGCTTTTAAAACTTTCAAACACTTAATGGGATTTCAAGCTGGCTCCTCTTTGTCGCAAACTTTCAAACCTGACTTTGCTACACAGATTCTGACCAAAATGTAGGGAAATAACATCTTAGTCATATTCTCTTTATGTAAAATGGGATTTCAATTCAAAGTCTGTTCTGGGATTGTACGACTCAGAAGCTGTAAAGACAAACTGTTTATTTAAACTCATGTTGACATCAACATAACGAAAGTAAGATCATATTCTGCTCATTTTTACGACAGCATTCATTTATTTTCAACTTCATGTTAAACTCAAGGCCCTGATTCTCATCTAAGCTTTGCTATGAAGATGAATTTGTCAAAAGTTTGAACCAGAAAGTTGGAAGCCGCAAAAATAACTCTCCCAAACACACATGCTTATAAAACTCCTTGATGGTGTACGATGACATCATGATGGGTAGCTCTGCCCAGAGCAGAGAAATTATCTCGGTGCTCTCCACCCTACAGAGGGCAGGGCAGGATCTTATGAAATAAAACATTCAACAGACTCAGAAACGTGTTCAGAGCTTCTGCTGGTCGCAGCAAATTTGACTGGAGACAAGTACTTGTATTGTGAATTGGACTTTGCTCAAACTGTATTGCATTTGAATACAATTGAATTGATTGAATCTGTCTGGAGAATTTCAATCGGCTGTAGAAAATATCATGGAGGACCAGATCAACATTACGTACATAACTCTGTCTGGGTATGTAGATCTGAACAAGTACAGGTATTTTTACTTCTTCATTGTACTCACTGTGTATGTCTTAACAATCTGCAGCAACGTCACTATTTTGTATCTCATCTGGGTTCACAAAAACCTCCATGAGCCGATGTACGTCTTCATCGCAGCTTTGCTGCTTAACGGTCTTCTTTATAGCACCAACCTTTACCCAAAGCTTTTGGTCGACTTTTTATCTGAAAAACCGAACATATCGTATTCGGCTTGTCTTTTCCAGTTTTTCATGTTTTACACTTTCGGTAGCTCAGAGTTCCTCCTGCTTGGAGCCATGGCCTTCGACAGATACGTGGCGATATGTAAACCTCTGAGATACAGGAATATAATGAAAAGAAGCACGGTTAGTACTTTGCTCGTTTTGGCTTGGTTCTTACCTGCTTGTTATCTTGCAGTGCAAGCCATCCTTAGTTCTAAAGCTAAATTATGCACATTTAAGTTGGCAGGGATATTTTGCAACAACACTATTTATGCCCTTCAGTGTGTGAGATCAGCAACAATCACTGTAATGGGGATTGTAGCTTTATTACACGTCGTAGTGCTTCCTATGCTCTTCACGACCTTCACGTACGCAAACATATTTAGAATTTCTCAGCGCAGCTCTAAGCAATCCAGGAAAACAACAGTGGAGACCTGCGTGCCTCACCTGCTGGTTCTGACCAGCTACTTCTGCCTGATGACCTACGATGTGGTTATAGCCCGAGTGCAGTCCGATTTCCCGCAAATTGCCCGATTCATAATGACGATGCAGATATCTTTGTATCACCCTTTGTTTAACCCGTTCATATACGGTTTCAAGATGAGAGAAATTAACAGACATCTGAGGAGATTGTTCAGCTCAGCCAAAAAATTGCAAACAGTAATTCATTGATTTTATTTTGTCGCTGCTCTCAAGTTCATTTCCTGTACCTCATTTGGTTTCCAAAGTGTCGCGATGACTTAAATCAAAACATTTGTTGCTTCAGCTATTTGACTGCAAGCAATCAAATTGTGTTACTGCTCTTACAACAACATGAAAAAAATTATTTCATTGTTACTCCAGGTCATAACATATTGGGTATCTGCCTCCCCCTGAAAATCCTTTTTATGCTATATTTTTAAGATATCCCTGACAAGGGTGAAATTATGTACATGTACGCTGCTTGCTTCCTCCACTCTTCATTGTTGAGATTCTGCTTGGCTTCTTTAGGGTACATAGTTGTTCTGCGTAGTTCACAGTCTGAAGGAAACAACAGCATGGGCATATAATTTTGTTTAAACGTTGACTTGATAAACTGCTTTCATATTTAAGTATGCGTTTGGTACTTTGAAACATGTGCTGTATTTTCAAGTTGGCTTCTCTTTGGTGGTGGAAACACTCACTTTGTTCCTAAAAGATCTCACTCTGACCAACATCTGAAGAAAAATAGCCTCAATCATTCCATTCTTATCAAGTCTCTTATTTTGAAGACTGTACTCCTGGGATTGTGGAAATACACTGACTGTGAAACTGTAGTGTAAACTGTTTATTCAGGTTAATGCTGACATTGTAATCTGCTCATTTAGAACAAGCGTTCATTCATGATCAACCTGCTTCATGTTGAGCCTCTTTCAAGAGAATATGGCCGTCTGATGTTGCTGTCAGTCAATGTGGAGAAGCAGGTTTCTGAGACTAATCTGTGTAAGAATCCATGCATGAAATTTTTAATGACTTTACTTTGCATTGACTGAAGGTTTGCAAACAGTATGACCAGGATATGCAGGTAACAACGATCACTGTAGTGATTTATCCTATATCTCTAACTCTAACCCTAGAGTTTGGTATACAGGATGAAAACCAGGACTACTTGCTCATTTGTTTGAGCAATTTGGCTTTTGTTGTCAGAATTGTAGTATTGTTTGCTTTGGTGAGTATGCCAAGTTTACCGGATGGCCACGGCATGAAACATGATCAAAACCTCAAGGTTTTGATAACTTTTAATCCCCCATTCATTGGCTGAAGGAAGATGTAGCCGATAGCTCGAAATCCAAAGGAGGAGTTTGTTAAAGTTTGAGGTGTGTAAATGTGAAAAATGGGCCAAACTTGCACTTTGACCCAAAATGGCTAGCTCAACGTATATTTCACAACAAGCTCCCAAGAAACTTTTCAGTTTGCTCCACCATGGCCACGCCCACTTTCAATTCTATTAAATGCATTTAATTTTCACATGCAGGACAATTTTGTGCGAAGTTTGTTGAGTTTTTGAGCATGTTTAAGCCGCAAAATTTTACATTTTCAGGAAGAAAAGAACAATTAATCCTAATATTACAACAATGGATTTTCACAAAATCACTGATTTTGTATGGACACATGAACTTAAATTTATTGAACTGTTTTTGAGTATTGACAAACGGTTCCCTTCTTCAAACCCAAGTGGCTGAGAGATTATTGGAAAGGAACCAGGTCAAAGTTTCTTTAACATTTTTCACAAGTTCCAGGTCGTCCAATGAATACTGAAAAGTATTCATTGGACGATGAATACTTTTCATCGTCCAATTTCAGGTTGTCCAATGAATACTGAAAGTTTATTTATGTCTACTTTTAGGTGTGCAGGATGAAATATCTGATTTGAGGTGACTACTAGGACTCCATTTTCTCTGTATTTTATTTCATTTTAAATTTTATTCTTGGTTATTTTTGAGAGATGACATGGGGATGGCCACAGTTACTCACATTTTTAGCACAATATATGAACAATATTGATTTTATTATAATTGGTGGTTAATTTCTTGTGTACCTTGAAAATGTACAATTTGTGACAGTGAATTTGTCTTCTTTGTCTCACTTTGTTTTAAATGCAGTCTTTACTGTAACACTGCATCGGTTAATGCAATGGTCTTCAGAGATTTACAGCCTCCGAAGGGGAAGAGGGAGGATCTAATAAAAGAAGCGTTCAGCAGACTCAGACTACAATATCGTGACCTCAGCTGGTCATAACACAGCAAGTTTGATAGCAGGTAATGACATATCATGTTGGAGGTGAATTTGTCTGTCTGAAGAATTTTAGTCGGCTGTAAAAATATGCATGTATATATATTCATCTATATCATGGAGGACCAGATCAACATTACGTACATAACTCTGTCTGGGTATGTAGATCTGAACAAGTACAGGTATTTACTTCTCATTGTACTCACTGTGTACATCTTAACAATCTGCAGCAACGCCACCATTTTGTATCTCATCTGGGTTCACAAAAACCTCCATGAGCCGATGTACGTCTTCATCGCAGCTTTGCTGCTTAACGGTCTTCTTTACAGCACCAACATTTACCCAAAGCTTTTGGTCGACTTTTTATCAGAAAAACCGAACATATCGTATTCGGCTTGTCTTTTTCAGTTTTTCATGTTTTACTCTTTCGGCGGCTCAGAGTTCCTCCTGCTAGCAGCCATGGCCTTCGACAGATACGTGGCGATATGTAAACCTCTGAGATACAGATGTATAATGAAGAGAAGCACTGTCAGTGCGTTCCTGATCACAGCTTGGTTCGTGGCTGTTTTTTATCCCATAGTGCTGGCAATGCTGAGTTATCAAGCTAAATTATGCACATTTAACTTGGCAGGGATATTTTGCAACAACTCTATTTATGCCCTCCAGTGTGTGAGATCAGCAGCCCTCACTGTGTTTGGGATTGTTGCTTTTTCAAACGTCGTAGTGCTTCCTATGCTCTTCACGACCTTCACGTACGCAAACATATTTAGAATATCTCAGCGCAGCTCTAAGCAATCCAGGAAAACAACAGTGGAGACCTGCGTGCCTCACCTGCTGGTTCTGACCAGCTACTTCTGCCTGATGACCTACGATGTGGTTATAGCCCGAGTGCAGTCCGATTTCCCGCAAATTGCCCGATTCATAATGACGATGCAGATATCTCTGTATCACCCTTTGTTTAACCCGTTCATATACGGTTTCAAGATGAGAGAAATTAACAGACATCTGAAGAAGCTCTTCTTCATCGTCGCCAAAAAAACAAGCCCACGGTGATCTGGTGACACGTTTGCCCTCTAATCTTTTTACTGTTCGGAGTTCAAAATGTAATGATGTTCATTTAGATGTGTCTTGGATTCACTGAAGCTGCATTTACTGTCAGTGATTAAAAAATCTAAATTTAATGGAATGAACAAATTGTTTCTGTGGTTAAGATAGTTTTCAACACAGCAGCTAACAAAGTAAATGTTTGTGTTTTTTTTTGGTCGTTGTTGTTGTTTTTTGTTTTTGCTGTATATTTATTTTTCTTCTGCACATTAAAGTGAAGACAACACTCAGTGAAGTCAGGAATGACATATTTTTAAGGTGAAATGTGAGGCAGAAGTTGGTTAAGCCCACTAATTGCATTCAAGTAAGAATAAAGACCAGTTCACATGACTAATGTTTCTTCCAAATCAGTTTCTTTCATTGTAAAACTAATGAAACTTCAACTAGACCCTGCAGTTCACCAGTGTATCTGGTGAAATCGGTCGGTTTGTTCTTCGTTCTGTGACGTTGCACACGGTGGGTAGAGCATCCAGAAATCTTGCTGAAGTTAGCGATGCATCATAATAAAATGACTCAACAATCGGAATCGGCCTGCAGCACAACGAAATTTGTTTCAGCCAGAATGACAAAGAAACGACAAACAGCATAACAGTCGGGTGGACGGGTGCCTGAGACGCTGCCATCTCATTAGATGAGGATAGACAACATCAGGGTGGAGTGAGGAAGTAAATGTAAAAAGGACAATAAAAGAGTAAAAACACTCCTCAAAGTACATTTTGTCCAAAGGATTACTGCTCGTTTCTTGCCTGGGAAACACTTAATACTTCCCTTTTTAAGGTCCTCGTTTAGAAACTAAGTCAAGTAAAACCCAACAAATGATGATAATTATTGAGAAAAGCGATGTGGTTACAATCTGAGTGAAGCAGAACTCCGAAGCCACCTGGAGGCTCTCGGGCCTCCAGGCCCTGACCTGTTGTCATGTGAACACTTTAATGAAATCCACAGAGGAGGACGAAGTCAGATAAAAACTCCTTCACTCGCTCCGACTCGCTCCTTCAGGTGTGGAAGTTCCCTTCCACATTCGTGTCAGCTGTTTAAACAAATTGCTGTTTTGTACTTTAAAACTCAGCTGTTATGGACGCCATGGCTGGTGAGCTAAACGCCACGCGGATAACCTTCGGCGGCCACGTGGAGCTGCACCGGTTCAGGTTTCTGTATTTCGCCGTCATGCTGGTCGTGTACGTCCTGATAATCTGCAGTAACTCCACCATCTTGAGTCTCATCTGGCTCCACAAGAGCCTCCACGAGCCCATGTACGTCTTCATCGCGGCCTTGCTCTTCAACTCGCTCCTCTTCAGCGCCGCCGTCTACCCGAAGCTCCTGGTGGACTTCCTGTCTGAGGAGCAGACCACGTCTCTGACTCTGTGCAGTCTGCAGAGCTTCACCTACTACACCCTGTGCGGCGCCGAGTTCCTGCTGCTGTCGGCCATGGCGTACGACAGGTACGTGTCCATATGCAGGCCGCTGCAGTACGAGGCCACCATGAGGAGGAACACGGTGGTCGCCCTGCTGGCTCTCGCCTGGCTCCTGCCCGCCTGCCAGCTCGTGCCGTCGCTTTTCATCAGCAGCAGCTACAAGCTGTGCCGCTCGACGCTGAGCGGGATTTTCTGCAACAACGCCATCTCCCAGCTGTTCTGCATGGACTCCAGGGCGTCGTACGTCACGTACGGCGTGTTCATCGTGCTGAACACCATCGTGTTGCCCATGGCTTTTATTCTGTTCACCTACGCAAAAATCCTGGTCGTTTCCTTAAGAGGCTCTGGCAGAATGAGGAGGAAGGCGGCGAGGACGTGTTCCCCTCACCTGCTGGTCCTGACCAGCTTCTCCTGCCTGTGTTCGTACGACGTCGTCGTGGCCCGGCTGCAGGTCGACCTGGACAGGACGGTGCGTTTCGTCATGACCTTGCAGGTGCTGTACCATCCCCTCTTCAACCCCATCATCTATGGCTGGAAGGTGGAGAAAATCCACAGACTCCTCAGAACAGTTCTCTATGGCGACAAACGCAAAGTGAACGTCTGAGGGAACGTCTTCATCTGTGTCAGACTTTAACGATGCTTTACAGCTCTAATGTTTGAAATGTAATGCTTTTCCTTTAAGTTAACCTTTAGTGTAATCACTACCTTTACTGTTGTGCTTATTAAATTGAAGAATACTGCAGAAACAGATATTCTGCATCTGTAATAATGTACTGATTACAATGGCTGCCAAAGATGGGAACTCATCATTGTTCTTGTTATTTTCTTTATTTATTTTCAGTTTCAGTAGTTTTTGACTCATGGTTTGGAGAAGAAACCCCTAGATCACATATGTTTTGCTAAAAAAAAAAGTGTATATTTTGAGTCTGTTGTGTATTTTGAATTCATTCTTTTTAATAAAGTCAGTCGGTGATGAAGAGGTGTCATCATTTCAGCTGAAGTGCACAAAACATGCAGATCAAGTCACAATTATGAAACGCACAATAACTGACGGCTCAGTTCAGGTTATGATCTAAATAAATATCACAGATGTCTGAAAATACATGACAGACCTAGATCCTGTCTCACTATTATAATGACAAAGTTATTGTTAAACTGACTCATATATTTAGTTAGTGTAATAAGGTTTATAAGAGTCACAATTAAACTAGGTCTTGTCATATTTTTTCAATGTAAATCGCTATATTTGATGGTATTCTTATAGTAAGAATTAATTCATAATATTAATTTCAATTCGTATTGTATTTTGTTCCACAGTTTCTATGCTACATAATTATCAGTGTGACATTTCAGTTTTCATATGTTCCTTTGTTACGTGAAAACATCTAAATGGGATGTTCATCGTTTGTCTAAAGCCTTAAAAAAGTTTCCTCTCCTTTTTTAAGGCTTTATGAAAAAAGATTTCTGCGGATCTTTGTTCATTCATGACAACCACCTGTTCAAAGTTGCTTTTGAGCCACAATAAATGGACCAATATATTTGACGCGGTGTTGAGGATTTTTGTTGTGCTTGTTAAATTGGAGAATACTGCAGAAAAAGATATTCTGCATCTATAATAATGTACTGATTACAATGGATCCCAAAGATGGGAACTCATCATTATTATTATTTTCTTTATTTATTTTCAGTTTCAGTAGTTTTTGACTCATGGTTTGGAGAAGAAACCCCTAGATCACATATGTTTTGCTAAAAAAAAGTGTATATTTTGAGTCTGTTGTGTATTTTGAATTCATTCTTTTTAAAAAGTCAGTCGGTGATGAAGAGGTGTCATCATTTCAGCTGAAGTGCACAAAACATGCAGATCAAGTCACAATTATGAAACGCACAAGAGCAATAATCAGATAACAGCAATAGAGACTGTCCAAAACTCTGTTATCTCCCATGAAATCACAGCATTTGCTTAGTAAATCAGATCATTTGTCCGATTAAAACCTTTTGAAACATGATGACCTTCAACCAGGTGTCAAACACTATTTTCCTTAAGCCCACGTCTGTGTTAAGATTGTCTTCTTTTTTTCCTCCATTGGTCTGATGTTACATTTAAATGTCATGTTTTTATGGAAGTTGAAATAAGTAACTATTTTTCTTATTTACATATTTGTTGACGACTATGAGAAATATAATTTGTGACAAAAATCAAGCTCCTCTAGAAGCAACCAATCACTTCTTTTCCTTTTATTCAGCACTATGGCCTTTATTTGAAAGTAGGGTAATGAGAGAGGGAAGACATGCGGCAAATGTTGCCAGGCCGGGAATCGAACATGCAACCACCGTCACGAGGAATAAGGGCTCATTATGTGGCTTTGCCCCTGCGCCTCCACAGGATCCCACCAATCACTCATTTTATTACCTTTTAACTGTTTGTGTACATATTCTGTCTTGTTTAGTCATGGAAAAGGAAAAGGAGGTGAATTGTATTTCTTAATCTGAACACAGTGACTCTTTTGGGTTTGTGCTTCTTCCTACGAAGAAGGTCCTGACACGACACTCACTGACTAAATTAATCAAAATACATGTTCACTAAGGATTCATCTCCATAGCAACCATTCAGAAAAGGCCTGGGGGTGCTGAAGGTGTGTCTTCTCGTCTTTTCCAGTTGCAGCCACTGAGTTTAGCTCCTTCAGACTAGCCAGCAGCAGTTAGCAAACCTCTGGTGGAACTGAGCATCAGAGCTCATCATAGGAGCTACTTCTCAGAACGACGCTGGTAAAAACCTTGTTCAAGGGATAGTAGAGGAGCCGTGTTGTGCTGACTTTCTGGAGATGCAGTTTTGAAAGAGCAGGAGCTTCTTAAAGAGACAGAGGCCCAATTTCAAGGTGTTAAATTAGGAAGTAAGTTTTCTTTTAAATCACATTTGATATATGGAGCATTTTTATAACACCTGAAGTCAGTATTTCCTATAAAATGATTTTATGGCTGGAAAACACGTAACACTTTTCATTTAGTTTCTGACATACGAGAAGCAAATAGTGATGAAATTTTCACGACCAAGTTCTTAGGCCTAAATGAACCCGAGTTCCTGTCAGATGTAAACACCTTAATGAGGTCCATGGAGAGAAAAGCAACTGGATAAAAACTTTGCCTGGACTCGGACAGCTCACTTTGAGGTGAGCACACCCGAACCGCCACGTCGTGACATCCATTAACAGGAACTGCATTCCTGTGAGGCAGCGCCTTTTGGGTTCCTGTCATTGCTTTGTTGAAACTTTTATAATGGATCGAAAGAACGATGAACCGAACGCAACGTATGTAACTTTTGGCGGCCACGTTGAATTGCAGAAACACCGCTTTCTGTACTTTGTGATGACGTCCAGCGTGTACGTCCTCATACTCTGCAGCAACTCAACCATCCTGTGTCTCATCTGGACCCAGAAGAGCCTCCACCAGCCCATGTACGTCTTCATCGCGGCTCTGCTCTGCAACTCGCTCCTCCTCAGCACCAACGTCTACCCGAAGCTTCTCGTCGACCTCGTATCCGACGAGCCGACTACATCCCTATTTGGCATGCAAAATTCAGGCTTGATTTATTACTCTTTGTGTGGTGCTGAGTTCCTCCTCTTGGCAGCCATGGCTTATGACCGCTACGTCGCCATCTGTAAACCGCTGCAATATCAAACCGTCATGAGGAGCAGGACAGTGACAGCTCTGCTGGTTCTAGCGTGGTTCCTGCCGCCCTGTCAGCTCGTGCCGTCACTTATTTTAGTCAACGGTTCAAAACTATGTGGATACACGCTGAATGGGATTTTCTGCAACAACGCCGTCACCAAGCTTTCCTGTATGACCCCCGCAGGGGCTACGCGATATTGGCGTGTTCATTTTAGCCACTACTATATTTGTCCCCTTGGCGTTCATCCTTTTCACCTACTGTAAAATACTCGTCATATCCCACAGAAGGGGCCTGGACACCAGGAAACGAGCCGTGCAGACCTGCACGCCGCACCTGCTGGTTCTCGTCAGCTTTTCGTGTCTGTGTTCGTACGACGTCATCATAGCCGACTGGACATCGATCTGCCCAAAGCGGCACGCTCGATCATGAGTTTGCAGGTGGTTCTGTATCAGCCCCTGTTTAATCCAGTAATCTACGGCCTGAAGATGAAGGAAATCCACAAACACCTCAGGAGGCTTTTCAGCCGAGGCAGAGTCCGCGTTTGTGTTGCACTGATCAATAACTGACGGCTCAGTTCAGGTTATGATCTAAATAAATATCACAGATGTCTGAAAATACATGACAGACCTAGATCCTGTCTCACTAGTATAATGACAAAGTTATGTTATACTGACTCATATATTTAGTTAGTGTAAAAAGGTTTATAAGAGTCACAATTAAACTAGGTCTTGTCATATTCTTTCAATGTAAATCATTATATTTGTTTGTATTCTTATAGTAAGAATTAATTCATAATATTCATTTCAATTCATATTGCATTTTGTTCCACAGTGTTCTATGCTACATAATTATCAGTGTGACATTTCAGTTTTCATATGTTCCTTTGTTACGTGAAAACATCTAAAGGGGATGTTGTCGTTTGTCTAAAGCCTTAAAAAAGTTTCCTCTCCTTTTTTAAGGCTTTATGAAAAAAGATCTCTGCGGATCTTTGTTCATTCATGACAACCACCTGTTCAAAGTTCCTTTTGAGCCACAATAAATGTAACGTTGACCAACATATTTGACACGTGTCGAGGATTTTTGAAGACGGCCCTCAGAAAAACGCACCACTTGTCTCTAGTTTCTTAATTAGTGACGGTATGTTGTTTTTATGACCTTTTATGTTTGTGCTTTTATGCTGCTTTGCTGCTGAAAGGTGCTACACAAAAAAACCGATTGATTAATTAACTTGCATGCACTGTGACCTCTGGTTAAACCGATATACTTCCTGTTGGCAGATGTCATTAACTGGAGTAACACATTCACATTTATTCATAGATAATTGGCAAGTTAAAGAAATTTTAGCAAAATGGACAGATATCAAACTATGTTCAACCTCTACAAGCTGCAATGATGCGGTAAAATCAATGTCACCAACGTTGCCGTTCGGTGGTCATAATGTTATGCTGAACATTCCAATTGCAGCAGTTAATGTACCGTATTATGTGCTTTTTTCAGAAACGCGTAGATCTACCCAATTAATCAACAAAAACATGCTACTTTAAATAACATTTCTGTCAAACGTCAACATTTTAAAACTGTTTGTGATCAAGTTATTATTTTCATATGCCAACATATATCTTGACTCAAAATGCCTCTTTTGCTAATACAATATTTAGTAAAGCTTGTTTACAGTCACTTAGTCTCCACTGCCATAAAAAAACTATTTCCACCAATCATACATAAAAATATGACCACTGACAGGTGAGATGTAGGACTGACTGCCTCATCATGGCAGCTGTTGGCTTGTGGGAAATAACTTAGGCAGCAAGACTTCACCGTTGATGTGTCGGAAGCAGACGAACGGTTAATGAGGATTTGATTGAGTTCATCAAGACAAATTGGGACAGTTCTTGACGGCACAGATCAAGTCAACTCACAAGCTGACAGCAGCTCAG